CAATAATTATCATCTAGAGGAATGTTTTATAAATAAAAACATGTTTGAATAGGATTCAAGGCTATCTAAAGAGGATATCCAATCCTACCTCTATTTCTTATTTTCTTCTTTTTTGTTGTTGTTGATATTGTGCAGAATGATGTATATTGCACAAATCTACCATTTAGCTATTTACATGTATGTTATTACTTTTCTTTTGTTTGAATGAATTTGCCTTTCTCTTTGCTACATAACATTTAAGCTTTAGCTTTTATAGTAGAACACACAGACCTATGTGTTTATCGTACTCAGTTTTGACACAGAAACTGAATTCAGGTTCTTAGCCCAAAGTATTTGTAACTTTCTATCTTGGAGTGGAATTTACAAACTATTTACAAACCACTGTACTTATAAAGTTTAGCAATATTTCACAACTCCATATAATTGATGAGTCATAACAAAGATTAATTTGTATTTTTGTTTGTTTTTATGTGCAATGTATTTTAGACAGATTGTAGAGAGTTTTTACTTTGCAGTTCCTCAATAAATGTGTGATGGAGCCTATCCATGAAGAGTGTGACATTTTGCTTGAATGAAATAGTTTTCTTAGATCAAATAGTGTACTGGAAACGTCAAGGTTGTCATTTGGGGCACAATTTGAGGAATTGATGTAACTGATTGCGACGTATTGAATGAGCAATTAGTGTTATATACTGGCCTTTATAAAAAGTAATTAACAAATTTACTATCATGATTTTTCAGTTATGATAACAGAGAGATTTTAATCTACCGGTATTACAAATTGAATATGTTTTGAAGATATGAGAAATTTATTAAATTATTTATTTCTATTGGCAAAAAGCCTACTTACGTATATCATTACATTGATCATTTATAGTGATTGGATACTGGTTTACTTCTGGGTTTTGTATTGTCTCTAATTAATGTACCGGTATTTGATGTGTCAGAGTTTGAAGGTATGATGAATTTTTCCTGGTTTTGCATTAAGTAATGGTTTTCAGACTTGTCTCCGTTTTTGTCTTCTTTTCTATTTATTGTGACTTTTTGAACTTTCTTGCTTCTTGATATTCAATCAAACTATTAAATTAATTTGTCACAAAAGTCACTATTTTATTTTGTCTCTGAGTGTATGTAATGACACACACACACCCACACATATACATACATATTATAACCCTACATCATAAAAACTGGTATATTACCCTATACCTAACCCTAACCCTGAATTCAAAACAATATTACTAATTAAACTAATGACAAATGATTAAACCTATTGTTTCTCGGAAGATCTTTAAGTTTTCCTCTGCCTGGAAACGTACGTAGAGGGCACTACTTCTTTTGTTCAATTGTTAACAGGACACAAAACTGTCCTGCTAATGACCATCTCTACTTTCCATTAGTTACCAACTCATTTTTTTACTACATATGTCCTTCTAATGATGCTGTAAGGTGTGTATATATATATATATATATATGTACATACATTTATGGGGGGGGGGTATTTTTTTAATCCTTTGAGAAATGTTGATGATCATAGTAATGATAGACAAGTGATGATGGTTATTAGTATAATGAAGTACTTGATGATGATGATGATGTGATGATGATGATGATGATGATGATGAGTAGGAGATGATGGTTACAATTTTTTTAAAGAAAGAGATGATAGTAATAATAATGATGCTGATGATTCTGGTACTTTTGAGAAATCCTTTTTTTTTTCCACTATGGTCATACAACACCTAATTACACCTCTAGAAAATTACTTAAGTTGTGCTCTGGATTTTTTTTTTTTTTTTTTTTTTTTTGGAGGGGGGGGGGGGGGGGGGGGGGGGGAAACAGGCTCCCAGACTATGGAGATGGTCAATCGGTGTATTTACGTAATTATGTATAACAAAAACTGTGGCTCCTGAGAAAGCAATAGGCCTACAGTTTTCCCAAATTAATAACTTGTTAATGAAATGATTATTAAACAATTTGCATCTCGAGGAAATTATCATACTTACTATTTTTACTAATTTGAACCGAGTTGAATCAAACACTAATACATCATTTGGAGCAGAAAAACTTTGTCGAAGGGCATTTTTTGTTTGTGTGTGTGTGTGTGTATTTGTATGTGTGTATTAGAGTGAACATTAAACCGCCAGGGGGGAAATACTGTATAAATTAGGCTATAAGCCTTGGTCAAGTAATCAATTTATTGAAAATGAGAGTTCTTCAAAACTTGAAAAAGGCACACCAATTACTATTTGCACAAAATTCAGAAGAGGAGGATAGCCTGCTGCAAAAAGATAAAGGCAAAACAGTGTATAAATTGGGGAAATATTTTAAGGGGAAAGGGAGATGCGGATAAATTTGGCGAAAATGAAACATAAAAGACGTGTATTGTGCGGAAAAGAGGAAGGAGACTTGATCTTTTTCAATTTCTTTTTCAAGCGCTATTTTTTTTAAATTCAATTTCACTTATTCTACATCTCTTTTTAAAAAGATACAATTTATGCAGAAATGAACATTTCAAGAAGGTAAGATGAAAGTAAACAAATAATACAAATGAAAAAAGTGTTGCCCACAGATTTTTTCAATGGGATCAGGAACCCCTTTATAAGTTTATAGTTGATTAGCTTTGTTGAAAAGTTGCATTTTTTCTAGATTCTTAAACATATAAACGACTGGCAGGTATTGTGTGTTATTCTGAAAGGGGAACGGCATGTAGGATAATATTATGTCATACAGTAATCTTTGTATTTAAAATATATATATTTATTTTTATAAAAAAAACATTTTTTAGTGATTTTGCTTTTTATTAATATTATTATTTGTTATCATTATTCATTATTAATAATATTATTAAAAGTTATTCTTCTTATTATTGTTATTATCATTATGGTCATCATCGTGACTGTTGATAATAATGATGAAGATGAAGATGCGCATGACGTTACTTAATAGTATTATCATTATTAGCATTCTTTATTCATCATTAATGTTGTTGAAGATGATGTTATCATAATCCGTTGATAACTTTATTGGAAGATTAATCGTTATGATTGCAGACTTTTTCAAGAAACCTCATTATTGATAGTAATAATAAAGATGTATTCATGAAGGGCATAATAAACTCTAAAATCTGTATATACCCGAGCTAGTTTGAAAAAAACAATAGTAATCACAACTTCAATTTCTATTCAAAAGAAAGCAAAATAATGTAGCGACTATATACATTAAGATATCATCTATTCAGAGGAAGGTCAAATATTGAATCAAGTCAAGTAATTCCTTAAATCTAATCATTAATGAACTAGTTATATTACAAGGTTATAACAGAAATAAGTTGATAATATGATTATCCCGGAATAGATTGATTGAAATAACTAACTCATTTACAATAAGTGGCGAATTTGAAAAGAAAAATATTCCCCCCCCCCCTCCCATAAAGCGCTTGCTCTCAGATTGCTACGTAATGCCAATTAAAACGACGATATTTTTTTTATATATTTTAAGATTTTTAAAAAGAACGAAACAGAGAAAAACAGAGTACAAGAAACAATTCTCGGTCGCGTCGAATTAATGTTCAGTATTTGGTTTTATTTTTCTCCTAAAAATATGATTAAATATAACAAGTTCAGCGAAGGGAAAGGTAAGTTGTCCTCCTCCAAGATAGACGGCCCTTTCAATCCCCTCCCCTCTCAGCTAAGAAATATATAATACTACCCCCGGACTACCTCCTAATTGCCCCCACTTACCCTAAAACCTCTGCCTATGATTGGGGCGTGTCAGAGGGATTGCCTCATGTCCATCAACTTTTGCTCAGCATCTACGTAGGCGTGTTGAATCTGGAATATCACGCCAAGTTCGGGGTTAAACTGCCTGTTGAATATGCAGTAGGATAAATTATGCATGAAGCTGGTATGGCAAATCGCATGTTTGGGTGGTCATCCGAGGGGATAATGCTTTCGCCAATTTATTTGAAAATGGATGATCCGTCATTGCTTCCATATCTAATTGATTTTTAGCTGAGATTAAGATTCAGAAAGAACTAATTTAACGTTATTCATTGCAATGGTGCCAAATGGGCGGGGACTAAATGCCCTTATATGGAAAGACTACCAAGTAGCCGAGACCCCAACGCCATATACGGATACCACGGCCTAATTGGGTGTCTACATATCACGTGATTTGTGAAAGAGGTGAAATATTCCGCCTCGCACGCGCGCACACAACGTACTATCCGCCCGCCGGCGAGCTAGGCCTAGGCGTGAACGTAGATACGCAATCTGCATCCTAGCCGCGCGCTTATCCAGCTGTATACTGTACATGCATATAAGGCCAGGCATATCGCGATCGTACGTAAAAATTAACGTACACCACGCAACACACACGCACACTTTGCTTTTAATTGTGCACGCGCGGAAAGGTCTCTTTGACGAAGTTTGACCGAAACTGTGTATCCCTTCGATTTGTAAAGGAATTATTTTTGGAATTTGACGGTAAGAATGTCTATCTGTTTGAATTGTATCAATATTTCATATGATTGAGATTTTATATAAGTCTTTTAAGATTTAGAGACTAGAGGCTGCCCAACTTTGTCGTTCGTATGGAGGTTAAGTGGAGTTGAAATGTAACTTCTATTCAGAAATCCGACATGTCCTGGTGGTGGGGATCCCTGAATTCGTTTTACATCGGATGTCTCGCTCGCATATAGCATTGCATTGCATGTGGTCTGTAGAAATTGAGCGCGCGAACGTGCGTATCTGTGATGGAGGAAGTGAGTGCTAGACACAGCACAGAAACATGACCAACACCCATTTACGTGATTTTGTATGAGTATGCTGCTCAAACTGTTGGTAATGAACTAGACCCTAGCCAAATTTTAATTGGATATGGATCTAGATTTAAAGTTACATTTACATGTAACATTAGTTTCTGGATATTAGCTACTCTAGAGTCTAATACGGTATTCTAGACCGAATTTTCCGTCTCTTTCGTCCGTTAGCCTCTTATTGGGGTAGGGTCGGCTCTCTCTTTAGAGACGGAAACCGTCTATACACATTCCCTTGATAACGCCACGGCTATTTCAGGTCGTATTGTTATGCCCCCAAAATCCCCCAAAATGTCATTTTACCTCGTGCATATCCAATTCAGCAATTGTAAATTGGGCCTAGATCTAGATCTAGGCTATAATACATCGGTTCCACTTAGTCTACTAACTTGATTGAAATAATCTGTTTAATGTAGACCGAAAGCTTCAGTCTCTATACTAGGGTAGGGTGTCTGATCGCGCACCCAATGTTGTGTGCTAAAACCCTTCCCATAGAGATTGTACGCTTCCCTATGTACGTGCATTGCGCGACCATCCAAAATTGGTCAATGATTTTATGAAAAAATTTGAAATTCAAACCTTTATAACAAATGATCCTGAAGGTGAAACTCAATAAATGAGGTGTCATATGAAAGAGCAGGTTTTTCTCCATATTCCCCATAGGGGGCCACCACCAGAATTCTAAAAATATCTTGGTCAAAACAGCGATTGAAATGTTGTTTGCATCCTAGCTCCAAAATTTGCCACTTTCCTGAGCTGCGCCCCCGCGGCTTAAGCAGGGCTAGACGTAAGGATAATATCCAGATGCTTTTTTTTTCGCTAGCCCCAAGGGATCATTTGTTATAACAGTTTGAAAATACCCTTCCCACATTTTTGGAATCAGCTAATTAGGGAGGCGTGAGCTCCGCTCAGTCCAAACCATGGTTACATCGTAACATGTGCGCTTATAGTGAATGAAAGTATGGGTGGCCGATTCTCGCCATAGAACCCGGAAGTGAATACACGTTGTAGTCAATGGCAATATCGCGGAGATTGTCTCCGCGATATTGCCATTGACTACAACGTGTATTCACTTCCGGGTTCTATAGCGGGAACGGCCACCCATACTAGTCAATGGCACATATCGCGGAGACAGCGTGGCTCAAGCTTGCAAGTCGCGCATTGGCTGAGCAACTTGCGTACGATATGCATACGCTTGCATATCGCGCGATACAGCTGTTTGGCTAAATTTAGCAAAACAACATAACTCTGCGTGTACGTCTTTTTCGTCGATTCTGAGCAAAATGCTATGAATATTTCAGCATTTTGAAGGGGCTGTATCTTTTGATAGAAACATCGGCGAGACTTGAAATTTGAAATGTATTATTCTGATTACATTTTTAATTCAAATATCAAACAAAAATGGTGAAAAACGATCCCAAATTGAAAATTGAAAAATCGTTCAGACACCCTATCTATACCGTCGGTTGTTCCACTGAGACTACGTCTGGCTCCACTAGACCTCCGGTTATAGAGACAGAACGATCGCCTATGCCAGCCTATGTTGAAGATATCACGGCTAGATTTTAGCCGTTAGGCCCCTCCCACAAACATGAACAAATTTGCCACGGCCGTATTGTTATGCCCCCAAAATCCCTCAAAATGTCATTTTACCTCGTGCATATCCAATTTTACATTAGGCCTAGGCTATAATTAGGGTGTCTGAACGATTTTTCAAATTTCAATTTGGGATCGTTTTTCACCATTTTTGTTTGATATTTGAATAAAAAATGTTATCAGAATAATACATTTCAAATTTCAAGTCTCACCGATGTTTCTATCAAAAGTTACAGCCCCTCCAACACGCTGGTATATTCATATCATTTTGGTCAAAATCGTCGAAAAAGACGTCCACGCAGAGTGATGTTGTTTTGCTAAATTTAGCCAAACAGCTGTATCGCGCGATATGCAAGCGTATGCATATCGTACGCATGCTGCTAAGCCAATCCGCGACTTGTAGCTTGAGCTACGCTGTCTCCGCGACATGTGCGATTGACTAGTATGGTTGGCGTTCGTCGCACAATAAACCCGGAAGTGAATGCACGTTATAGTCAATGGCAATATCGCGGAGACAACGCACGTTGTCTCCGCGATATTGCCATTGACTATACATGTATTCACTTCCGGGTTTATCGAGGGAATTTCCAACCATAATTTCAGTCACTATAATGTGTAATTGAATTTGGGGTTTCGTTCGTGCGCGGAGATGTTACGCGATGTAACCATGGTTTGGACTGAGCGGAGCGCACGCCCCCTAATTAGCTGATCCACCAAATAGCGAGAAGGGTATTTTTAAACTGTTATCAGTTGTGATCCCTGGGGGCTAGCGAAAATATAATCACATAGAATTGTTCCTTAGGACTGGGACTACTTATCGATCGGGGCGTCATATCTCAAAAGTGACAAACCTCAGAGTTAGCCAGGACACAATGTTTAAATTGCTGTTTTGTCCAAGATATTTTTAGAATTTCGGGGGCTATGCCCCTTTGGAAATATTGGAATTCACCTGCTCTTTCATATGACACCTCATTCATTGATTATCACCTTCAGGATCACAACTGATAAAGGTTTGAATCTCGATTTGAAAAAAAAAAATTGACTTTTTTTGCATGGTCACGCAATGCACGTAGGCTGCATAGGGATGCGTGTAATCTCTATGGGAAGAATTTCAGCACACAACATCGGGTGCGCGATCAGACACCCTACTATAATACATCGGTTCCACTTACTAACTTGATTGAAATAATCCGTTTAATGGTCCCTTTTAAGGAAATTATGGGTCAAAATCGACATCCATGTTGAAAATCTTGCAAGCCGTGTTGAACTCTCGCTGCCGTCAATCTCATCCCTTCTAGTCTACGCCGAAGGCAAAATGATTATGAAGGAAAAACTGTGCGCCATCTACACGTTCGTAATGGCGTTATCACAGTCAATCGAAAATATTGTTGATTTTTTGAGGCGGCAATTTCATATCTGGACTTTTTGACGCGGAAATTTCGTCAGCGATGAGTGTTGAACTTTTTTGGTGCGCGAGCAAAATTTGATGCGGGCGCTGACGAGAACCATGAGATCAACTTTCATCGGCCTTACGAACGTGTAGATGGCGCACAGTTTTTCCGAGAAGGTGTCTACCATTGTTAACTATCCCCAACCTAGGTCGATCAAGGAATTAGAGAGGTTCCTTGGGATGGCCGGATGGTATCAGAAATTCATTCCTAGCTTCTCAGATGTTGCTGCACCCCTTCATGGATTGAAGAAGAAAGGTGTTCCCTGGAATTGGACTGCTGACTGCACTCGTGCTTTACAGGCCTTGAAGGAGAGCCTCCTCACTGAGCCAATACTAGGCTACCCTGATGATGAATCCAGGTTTGCTGTACACACAGTCACACAGATGCCAGCAATGTTGGGGTCAGTGCAGTCCTGATCCAACAGCAACCGTCTGGGACGAGAACTATCGCCTATGCGAGTCGGTCTTTGCCTGCTGCAGAAAGGAATTATAGTACTACTGAGAAGGAGTGTTTGGCTGTAGTATGGGCCCTAGAGAAATGGCGGCCATATCTGGAAGGTAGAGAGTGTTGTGTAATAACGGACCACCAGGCACTTTGCTGGTTATTTCGGAAGAAGAAGCAAAATGGGCGATTTGCACGTTGGATTCTGAGGCTTCAGGATTTTCGGTTTCAGGTGATATACAGGCCTGGAAAGCAACATCATGTCCCGGACGCACTATCTAGGATTCCTAAGAAAGGTTTTGCCCCTTTGGTGGGAGTTGTAAACAGGGTTTTGTCGAATCGAGTCTGTGGCGGACATGAAAAGGACTTATGTGCGGCCAGTGATTGCATTTCCCCGGATGATGAGTCGGTTGGTTGGGTACAATGTGATGATTGTGATAAGTGGTATCACCAGGTTTGTGTCCATATTGGTTCTCAAGAGGCGGAGGAGGTAGACAAATACTCTTGCCCATCTTGTGTTGGCAAGTCAGAGGCCATGAATGAAGTCGTTCTTCTTTTGGATTTGACAAAGGATTCTGTCCTGAGGGCACAACAGAGTGACCTAGATCTTTTGCCAGTCATTCAGATCCTTGAAAAGCAAAAGAATGGTGGTGGGGAGGATCAAGGTCCTGTTCAAAAGATTTCAGATTTCAGTTTGAAGGAAATGGTGTTGTATAAGAATGAATGTGTAGTTATCCCCCAAGGTACTTCAGAATGCAGTGTTAGTTGAGTGGCATTGCAAGCCAATAGCTGGGCATCTTGGGAGAAAGAAGACACTTCAAAGGTTGAAGTCAATGGGTCTCTGGTGGAGTGGTATGTCGCCGTCTGTAAGAAGCTTTATTCGCAGTTGTGAGGTTTGTCTTCAAACAAAGCCTTCTTACCAGAGACGTCAAGGGAAGATGTTGTCTAGTACCTCCTCGAGGCCTTGGGAAAAGGTTGGTGTAGATCTCATGGGGCCTTTGCCAAAGTCATATGCTGGGCATGAGTATATTCTGGTGGCTGTCGACCATTTCTCAAAGTTTGTGGAGATTCTGCCTTTGAAGTCAGCTACCAGCCAGTCGGTTGCAACCACTCTAGTGAGGGAGCTGTTCTGCAGATATGGACCTCCAGGAGCCCTGCTCTCGGACAATGGCCCCCAATTCAGAGGGAAGGTTCTGCGAGCTGTCTGCACAGACTGGGGGATAGAGCAGATCTTCATCACGCCATATCACCCCCAAACGAACTGGGTCAAAAGGGTGAATCGTAACATCAAGGCCATGCTTCAAGCTTACACCGGATCTGACCATCGACAGTGGGATGTTCATCTCGCTGAACTCGCGTTTGCCCTGAACAGCAGTAGTCATGACACACTTGGTGTAGAACCATCAGTAGTTATGTTTGGACGGCGCTTGGCTTCTCCCTTGACCAACCGCCTGCAGACTGAGGGAAACAGACATTCCTACGCAAGAAGAAATCGCACACAATCGTCAACGCGCTGTTAGTAGCTCCAAACAATACTACAACCAGAGCCATGATGAGTGCCGCATCACTGAAAGAAGCCAAGTCATGGTGAAGACTAAACCTCTGTCAAATGCGAAAAAGAACTTCTCAGCTAAGCTAGCACCACGATGGACTGGGCCGTTTGTTGTGCAGAAAAAACTAACCCCAGTGAATTTCCTTGTGGTGAACGCTGCCAACAAGAAGGTATAACTCGCATTGTTCATGTGGACCAATTGAAAGGGTGCTAATTACTTCGAACATAGACTTCGCATGTTGTCAACGCTGTTAAAATTTTCGCTTATTGTAGCATATTGGATCAGGACTGGTTGAAAGTTCGCGACTCACGATTACATTGACTTACCTCTAAAGCCGAGTAAGATTTGGTCGAGAGCGGGACTGTCATAGTTGGGCTATGGATCGCGATAGAAACTAAATGGACGCTAAGTTTGATTGATCTGGACTCTTAATATAGATTCTAACAGACTCTTATTTCAACTGATGTTGTATGTTTAATGTCAACCATTTATATTGGTGCGTGCCCATGTGCTTTAATTCTGGCTTGTGCAGAATTATGCACTCTTCAGAATTGTTGATGACTATTATAATATTAACATGTCGGATCCTTATCTTTACAGTTAAAGGATAAATACAACCGGTTGGAAATTGTTGAAAATTGGAACTGTATATAAACTTGTGATTCCCTGCGAATTTTCTGTCATTGCTTCTAGTGTTTTTACTTGGAGTTATACATGTACACTGAATTTTTGTGCACATGAAATTGTTATACAGTATGTACACAGAATTTGTGTTTCAAAAGATAAATGAAACAAAAGAACTACCAATTGAGTGTAGTTTATAATTTACACATATACAGATGTTAGTTTCGCTAACATCCTACACTTTGGTAAACACTATATCTGACCTGAAGTTGGGTATAACAATATATATATATATATATATATTGTTATATATATTTAAATGTTTTTGCCGGACCTGCTGAACGGATTTACATTAATAGAAGATACAAAGTATGTTAGTTGTCATACATCCTACACTTTAGCCATGCAGGTAGGGCTAAATTACAAATTTGTCTAAGGGTTATTTCTTTTAGAAAGAAATCAAACAAAAGAGCACTCAGCTGTGCTGGTGCTGTGTTAATTATATTGATCTTTTTTTTAAAAGGTATTCATGGATATGCTTGAACATGTTCAGACGATAATCTGTATTGGACGTTTTTTCTTGTTGGTTTTTGGCATTATGTATTTTGCATCTCTGTTTTGCGGGGAAAAGCTATCCTTTGGGGTGCGGTGTTCGTTATTCTTACAGTGTACATTTTTTGAGTACTGATGGTATCTTGCGCAGACAAGCGAACTGAGTGTATAGATTTACCCTGAACTCAACATAGAAACAGTCGATAGCGATCACAGCATATTGAGAGAACTGGTGGTCGTCTGTTTTGTCTGTACGCGCGCTTGGTTGCAATATTGTTGCTTCACATGTATATGTCTCGGGCGAGATTTGGCTTGTTTTATGAGCAGTTTGGAAATGTTTGAATAATATTTGAAAAAAACCCATAGGGTATTTTTGGTGGTGGAGAGTATAGGGATTGATATCGTTATAACCGATACCGATACCAATATGATTGGGAGGGGGATCGAGAGACGAGAAAATGGACGGTTGTCTGTAAGATTCTGATTGTTGTTTCTAAGGCCGTTGTCGCCTTATTAAAGGTGTTATAACCCAATTCCTGTCTGATATCTAATCATTCCTGTCTGTACCTAGTGAATCCCCTTATAATCTAATTCGATCTAGAATATTACTAGATCCAGACTTCTTGGCAAATTCTCACAAAAAAAACATTTTAACCACATCAGTGATCAAATTAAATTCAACGAATAACATATCACTATCGGACATTCAATCGGAACAACTTCATTGGGCAAATTTAAACATTTTTTTTTTGTTTTTTTTTGGTGCTGTTCAACCAAAGAAATAAGAGGAAAACTGACCATATATTTGTGCGCAAAGAATTGTCCATGATCCCAATTTTCATTCAACAGCTGACAAGTGATGATGGATGCGAGCAGAAATAACGGGACTTGATGATATTGATATTACTTGATAGGTTCGTGTTTTGACTAGTTTGTTGCCAAACCAAAATGAAATTATCTTCTTCTTCTTCTTTGGGTTAAGTCTACCTCCTTCACAGTTGAAGATTCTTGCAGACTGATGACTGAGTGTGTGTGTGCTTACGAGAGCAAGGTGCATGTTGCAATGCTATTTACATGGTGCAAGTAAAAAGTTCCCGGACTTAGTTGCTGCCTCCCGTCAGGCATTGACGGATGAGGCTCATACTGTTTCTGGTGGCAGGTTGTTCCAACTCCTCACAGTCCTGGGGAAGAAGGACTGCTTATGTTGCTCAGATTTTGAACGGGGGACTTGGTAGCTATGTGCATGGGCAGTCCAGGAGGGTCTTGTGACAGGGTTGATGTAGTATGCTTTGTCGAGTGCTGCCAGGTTGTTGTGGAGCTTGTACGTCATCACTAACCTAGTCATCACCAGTCTGTAATTTTCTCTGCGTTGCTCGAGTGTGGTCCAGTCAAGTTGTTGGAGCATGGAGGTCACGCTAGAGGTGTTGTGGTACCGATTGAGGGTGAATCTAGCGGCCCATCTTTGTACCATTTCTATTTGATGGATGTGGTTTGCAGAGGAGGGATCCCAAACTGTAGAACTGTACTCAATGAGTGGTCTTACATGTACTAGAGCTTTGTAGGCAGTACTCTTCAGTTTTGGTGAGTTGATCCGGAGATTTCGTCTGAGGAAGGCAAGGGTGTTGTTTGCTTTCTGGCATATGCTTGTGATGTGTTTGTCCCATTTCAATCAAGGTAACTCCAGGAAGCTCCGATGCCGAAGGCTTCGGAGCTTCAGTAGGTGCATCTGAAAACATTCAAACAGCGGGTTGGGCGACATTATCTCAAAATATGCAAAGGGAGTAATTACAATTTTGACTTACTAGGTTGCTCAGCTCCTTGGGCATCTGGCTGGCCACTTCAAATTATAATTTGAAGAAATCTTTGATGGGGGAAAAAGGGGGTGATTCTTCGTCCTACCCTGACGATTCTTCCATGTTGTATCGTCGACTCAACATGGTCCTCTTCCCCGGTTGAATCTAAAAGTATACCGTAATGTGCTTTGTAAATTTTGATTATATTTCATTTCTCTTTTTATTCTCTTCCACAGTACCACTCCCAATTCTCATCATGGTAAGTAAAGACCAAAACAAATCAGTCTGTTTATTTAACCCTAACAGGGGGGAGGGGGGGGGGGGGGCATTATGATTTTTCTGATTGTTCGGTATGGGCAATTCCACGGTAACGGAATTACATTTCAGAGAAATTTGGGCTCTATTTTTATATACGGTAGACAGGTGGTTAGACCTAGGTGATTATTTATCTTTTTATTCTTTCTGTATTCTGCACCTGTTAGCAAATCAAAATTTAAAAAATTATTTTTCAACATTCGGAACACCCCAGGACCAAAAGAGTGTCGGTAACGGAATTACGGCAGAAAAATCAGGTTATTTTTTACAATAACTTTGACAAGATTTCGTCTGAAATCTGCAGCCAATTGAGGGTGAAGTAATGCTAATAAAGGGAGCTTATATTGTTGACTGTCCCATGGCAAGATTTTTTTGGGTGAAGTTGTCATGGTTTATCTATGCTGGATGGTTTTATGAAAGAAGGTAGCGGTAACGGAATTACATAAATGGTAACGGAATTACGTCTTCTGAAATAAGCTTGAAAAAAGTGATTTTGTAAACATTATGTAGGCTTAAATTGTTGTTTAATTGTTTCAGGGGTTGCAATAATTGATTTTAACTACAAAGCAATTCATATGTATACTTCATTTCTAAAAACTATTGGAAAACGCATCTTTTATATTGTTAAATGGCAAGTAAATATGATATTTCTGAGAAAATATTGGTGTGTAGTGATTAAATTTATGTCAATATGTGTTATCATATACTAGTTTACAACTAATTTTAATTTGGTTTAGTTTGCAAGTAGGAACATCACACAAAGTATGACAAACTACATGTATTATTGCCCATTTGCCGGTAACGGAATTACACATATACAGATCACTTTTGTGACCATACATGACAAACTGGTTGTGAAGTCGCCAAGGCAATTTATAGAAACGGGTCAATAAACTCCCCAGTATTCAATAGGAAACAATTAGGATATTTAATTGTTTTTTTTGCCTATTGTGAGTGCCTATTAACCAAGCAAATACCACTTGCAATACATTATTTCAAAGCTTATTTTATGCAGGTTTGATCAAAATCGATTGAAAATTGCAACATTACAACCTGTTCGTCGTGGATGGTTACATTTAAGCATTCAAACAATTCTAAAACACTTAAGTGCTACTAATAACATTGCCCACACCCAACACAGGGATCTTGGTGTAAATTAAAAATAAAACACATGAATATTTATTTATAATGATTTCAGTCCATAAAACCAACCACCAAAATCTAAACTAATTATATAAAGAGAGCTTAATAAAGCTATCATTTTGTCAACAGCGTTTCAATAATATTTCACACCAGAATTTGTAAATCATTCCCCTATCTCATATTTCTGTCGAGCCAATTTTTCAACCTGCTGAGCCAATTTTGTGACATTAATGTAGGGCCTTAGAGGGAGCACTGGTTATCATTCTTTTAAAATTAATTATAAACCTTGTCAGATAATTCAATATTACAATTTCAATCCACAAAAGCTAGCACCTTATTCAAAACTAAATAATTAAGATAACGTCATCAACAGAGTCGCAATAAAATGTCAAACCTTGTAAATCATTACGCCAATTCACTAAATTATTATCATTCTTTAATAGTTGGTTATCATTCTTTTAAAATTAATTACACACTTCATCAGTGTTCTTGAATTTAACAACATGTAACAAACTTGACCATTGTCATCATTCTTCATTCCAAACAGACCTTCTCTGAGCGCTAGCGATCTAGTCAAAGGCGCCCTGCCACCCCCCCCCCCCCTCCCCTTCCCATATGAATAATACGTAGAGTATGGAAATTTAACCGTTTGCAAGAGGGCTAGTCTGCTATGGTCGTAGCCATCTAACTTCTAATAAAATACATGTTTTTTTGATAGATTAGACCTTCCCCTTCAACCTCCACCTTCTCGTTTTTAAATGTATTTTCTCTGAGTGCTAGCGAACACCTTCCCTCAGTCCCATATTTTTTACGTGTTACGAGTCGGCAAAGTGACCGTCTGTAAGAAGACTAGTCCGGAACCTGCCAAAGCCTTCTTACTTTTTATTACATGTAAATATTTTTTCGCTAGATTAGACCTTGCTTTTTCAACCTCCACCTACATGTAGTCATCGGCAAAGGTTTTTTCTCTGTGTGCTAGCGGACTGATTCACAGTTACCCCCCCCCCCCCCCCCTCCATATAACGAAAGCGTCCGTCTGCAAGAAGACTAGTCCGCTATGGTCTTAGCCATCTAACTTTTAATGAATTATCCTTCTTCCTTCTTCGTGTGATTTATATGTAGACCTTGCTTTCCAACCTCCACCTAGCCGTTTTTTAGGGTGTTTTCGTGGGGTATTTTCTTTGAGTGCTAGCGGACATCGTCGAAGTCACCCTGCCCCCCCCCCCTTTCCCTTTAATAGTCCCATATGTATAATACGTAGAGTATGGAAATTCACAGTCTGCAAGAGGGCTAGTCCGCTATGGTCTTAGCTATCTAACTTCTGATATTTTTGTTGATTTTTTCAATAGATTAGATGAGATCAGTGAAGAATAAAAATCAGAAAAGGCACCGTTTAAAATCACCATAGGTGAAATAATATGAAGTATTTCCATGCTTAAATTAAATCAAAAGGTTTCATAAGAGATGTTGGTACAATTTTAATTGCAAGTTCAGAGTGAATGAAAAAAAAACATCTAAAATTCCCAGCCTAGTTTGTAGTCTTTATGCAAATTTGAAAAAAGTTTAAAAAAAATATTCATTGAATTTATCAAAGCCAGATCCTTAGTCTTTAGTTAGACAATAAGCCAATACTTTAAAAAAAGGGGCAAAATCCATTAAAAATGTTGTAACACAGCATACAGTATAATGTACATGAGGCAGCAGGTCCATCTCTTGAAAAACATACCACTCATTAGTAATGCTGCTGCCCTTTGTAACTCTGTTACCAATGTAATTCCGTTACCATGTAATTCCGTTACCAGTGTTTTAATAGGAAAATAATTAGATAACTCTGAAATTGATGTTTAGGGCTGTTGGTATGTTGATAAAGGAAGAGAATTTGCGAGTACAAAGAAAAAAAGTAAGAAATAACTTTGTGAGTAAAACTTCTTTCAAATTTTGGTAACGGAATTACGCCATTTTAAGGGTAAAATTGAAATATCTCTCATACAAAAACTTTTTTCATTTGTTGAAAATAATTTGCAAAACTTGATTCCTATTTGTGATGTTGTTCAATTAGGAATAAATATAGAGGAATAAGTTTTAAACACATTGCTCCATTGAATTTTAAGAAATTAAATCATGATCATGTAATTGAGGCCCCCAAAATAGCCCCAACTTCAAATAAATTTTTCAGAAAAAACGTAAAAGATATTTCAAAACGGTTTTCAGTTCCGTCACAAGTGATTTCTTGTCCACATGAAAAATGTTAAATTATAGAAGTTGGATCAAATTAAGAATTTGGTGATTTTCCTCTTTCCCATACGGAATTGCCCGTATTGATACAGATGGTGCCCCGCCGCTAGTGACTTTTTTCTTTCGAGTCTTGCGCATCCTTTAAAACATTTTTTTTTTAAATCAGGGGTACAGTTACAAAGTCACATGACCTTTTGTCTTTGCATGCCAGCCCAAAAATCGCTTATTTTTGTGATTTGTGTACAAAACACATGGAAATGTCATTTTTCCTAAAAAGAAATAAAACATTGGTTATTGGGTCTTGTTTAAAGTTTAGGTGTTTGTTTTGGGAGTCAAAATAGTTGAATTGTAATTAGAATTTTTTTTTTTTTTTTAAACAATAAAATACAAGAGTTTAAAAAAAATGAAAGAGATCTATTACATAATAAATTATCAAAACAAGAGACAACATAAGGAATAATCTAGCTCTTCCAAATTTGTTGTATCATTATTTCAAATGGTCAAACGAATACATGTAGTGAAAAAGAATGCTTAAATATAAAGAATATATGATTGATGGGTAAAAAGGTGAATTTTATGATGGAATTTTTCAAAAAATTAAATTTTCCATAGTATTCCATACACTTCACTTGATATGCATGCAACTTTTCGCGCCGATTGGCCGATTCACGGCCAAGATCTTAGGGGGGGCCACAAACTAACTGAATCACAAATCACAACCAAGGCAACACTGGTCACATACTGTAACAGATATTTTTATAGTTGTTTAAATGATTGAAATTAACTCTTCGTTTCATTTTATAATTATTTCTAGACAGAAAATCATTTCAATTTTTGAATTATCCGTAATATTTTCTCTTGCAAGGTGAGGTGTATTTAAAGAGAAGAACCCATCACAATTTGGTCATATTTCATTGATGATTGATGAACCTGACATTATTTACAATTTGAAAAGTCGTAATCCGACTGCATTTGTATACAGTATGTGCATGTACAAAGAGGTCCATGTTATAAGGAGACCAGTGGGTTTGGTTCTTAAAGGAAACCTTACCCCAAAGAACAAATGTAAGGGTTCTGAAAATGAGATTTATTCCTGTCATGCTGAGAAACTGTTCTTGCTTTATGCCTCTCTCATACACTTTAATGAGGAATCTTGTAGAATAATGGGCAAGAATACAATATGAATCTCTCAGAATAACTTAGTCATATCTTAGGGTGAGGTTTTCTTAAAAGGTAATACAAAGTTTTTAGGAAATTTTGAAAATTTTGGGTGGATAGTGATTCTTTACAATTTTGATATACGGTATTTGGATGTTCCTGTGGATGTATTATAAGCATTAGAAAGTTAAGCCCGTAAAACACTTTTTTAGAGAAAAATTGAATTTAAAAAATTTCAATTAGCGGCTATGGCAGTACAATGGTAGCTGCGACCATGAAAATCTCAGAATATGTAGTTGTGATGTATAATTTCCTAACGGGAATAGCTAATCGGTCGATTTTAGTTATGAAACATTGTTTTATAGCTTAATTAATATTTTGACCTTGTGAGGGAGCTATACAACATAAAGAGTTTATCATTTACAATTTCATAACTTAAGACTGAATATTATAGGATCGCATATGCTTCCAATATGTTCATTTGAACCAAATTCATGACCCCATACCATACCAAATCTTTGTAATTCCTTTAAGAACTGAAGACGGGGGGGGGGGGGGGGGGGGTCATCTCGGTCTAAAGTGTATTTTAACATACCGGTATTAATTATTATACTGAATGTACATGTACATGTAGTTCATTTGTGATATCTTTTACTTTGTTGCAGCCGAAATCAAGTATGTCCGGTGTCAGTGTCCCTGAAGAAATTCAGAAGACAATTACTGATTTGAAACAAAAGAAGTTCCAATATGCTGTATTTCAATTTAAAGTAAGTATATTGTAATTCCAATTTATTTATTTATTTTATTTTAAAAAAAATTGTCTTGCCAATCGAAGGTGGAGGTGAGAGAGTAAGGAGTTCAAACGGCATCTGTCACAAAAGTTAGTTTACTTGTGACAAATAACTTGGCAACCGTTTATGCTATTGCGACCAAATTTGGGTCAGAGTTGCACTTGGGGACCTTTGCTTTGTGGTGCTGTCCAATGCTGAGGTCATGGGTCATTTAAGATTATATGTACAAGTTTACCTTCAATTCTCTCTTGTGACAAATAACTTTGCACCAACCTACTCCTTGCCCTTTTTTTAAAACATTAAGAAAAAATTTAGCATATATTTCTTTAATTTTGTCATTTCATTATAACACGGAACAGTTTTTGGTCCAGATATACTAGCTACAATTTATCATACACATCTTGTGATTTATTTATATACCGGTATTCTTTTAATTTTCATTTCTTTTGCAGGACTTGGGGGTTGTTGATGACAAGAAGGTTGTTGTAAGTATTTTTTTACCTTTAAAGAGATTCATATTTCATTGGCAAGCAATTTTTAACACAAGATTTCTGTATCATGTCAATTATTTTCTTGTGCTGGTTAATCATTTTAGAGGCTGAGACAACTAAGCGCTCATGAGAAGATTGAATCATACAATCGGTTACTGTTTGACAAATAATGAATAATATAATCCAATGTGTGCAATATAGCTTTGTTTGTACCCTTGGCTAAAATTAATTTGTATTTCATACAAACTCTTTGGATGTTTTTTATGAGTAAATCTCATCCTATTTGGCATTATTGCTGTGACACTTGATGCTATTCAAAATCTGTCAATGAATCAATGAATGAACAGGGGAAAGCTGCTATATGTGTTGCTTGTTAATGACATCAAGAGCATTCATGCAAGTACTTGATTAGCACAGTGGTGGTACTAATAATTAATTACTGTATCGTTTACTATTTTGCCCAGGGATGGACCCAGGTGGCAGTAGGTGAAAGGTTTGAGGGATGCAGAGGCACCAAAGCTCACCTAACTATCGAGGAAGACATATTACGGACTGAATATACCAAATTCGTTGCAGAATACATGGACCCCGAGTCTGCTCTCTTTGTACTCTACGACTTCTCTGTAGTCAAAATTGACAACGTTAAAACGAAAATCATCGGAATTCAATGGTACGTTGCATTTCCTGTTATAAAGCTGTTTTTTAGTTTGGGGTTTGGGGTGGGGAAATTGTCAAGTCTGGTGGGTACTTGAAAGTGATAATACATCAGATCCTCGCCAGATCTACTATCTTTGATAGATCCAAATGTTCCCAAAAATGTGCTTAGAATTGACCATTTGTAGCTGACAAATCCTCTTTAAAGAAATGAGTGTATATGCATATCCCCAGTTAGTACTGGAATATATTACTGAAGGTTATTTCAATCCTTCTTTAACCCTATATAACCTGGGTGGGGGGAGGGCTTTAGATGCCCCCCCTCCCCTCTACATTTTTCGCGATAATTTTTAAACGCAAAAGAATCTTGCGCCAAAATTTATGACTTTTTACTTTTGAGTCTTGCACATTTTTTTAAACAAATTTTTTCGAAAATCTGCCCTACCGTTACAAAGTCACATGACCTTATGTCTTTGCATGTCAGCTCGAAAATTGCTCATTTGCGTAATTTGTGTACAAAACATATGGAAATATCTTTTTCCCCCAAAAGAGATAAAACAGTAGTTTTTTGGCCTGGTTTATAGTTTATTTGTTATTTTTTTTTTTTTTGGGGGGGGGGGGGTTCAAAATAGTTGAATTATAGTTAGAAATGAAATAAAACACAATAAAATACATAAGTGGGAAAACAAAGAAATTCATGAGAAATTATCATGGCTCTTCCAAATTTTGTTGTTGTATTATTATTCCAAATGGTCTAAAAAATATGAGTAGTGAAAACAAATGATTAAATATGAAGAATATATATGATTTATGGGTAAAAATGTGAATTTTATGACCTTAATTGCATTAATTACCAGAAATATGCAAATTATTCAATTTTTCCAAAAAATTGAAATTACCTTAGTATTTTATACACTTCACTTGACATGCATGGCGCCCCTTTTCCGGTGGCAGCGGCGGCGTCGACATCAAAAACTTTTTAAAATTTTTAACTTAATTTTGAAAGTATAAGTTCTCGTTCAATGAAACTTGGACTAAAGATTTATCAAGTATCCCCAATCATGTGAGTAGAATTTCAGGTTACAAAGTCAAGGTCATTTCAGGTAATCCTGTAAGTTGGGGCTTTGATCTGACCCTCAAAATTTTGAGAACTTTTAAGTTTTAGGCTATCAAATATTAAAAGAATATGCATAGCTGGGATTATTTTGTCATTTGGAGTTGTTGTAGACCATGTTTGGTGATATAAAGTGCCTTTTCATGACTTTTGTATATTAATGATATTAGTATAATTTCAAAAGTGTTTGTTCAAATTCCATGAAACTTGTACCCAAGGGTTATCAAGTATCACAAATCATATGACACAAATTCCATGTCACAAAGTCAAGGTCAAACGTCCTTTTTTTTTTAAGTCAGAAGACTTGGATTATTTTTTTCACAACTTAACCCTTACTGTACTGGGGGGGGGGCCTGGGAGGCCCCCCCCCTCGACATTTTCGGAGATTGCGCCGCAACCGCTCAGAATTTCGAATTGTCGTTTCATGACTTTTTTCCTTCAAGTCTTACGCACATTTTGATACCATTTTCGTCGAAATCGGATATACCTGTAAGGTGTTACATAACAATTAGTATGCGCATGTCATTAAAAAAGTGCTATAATTGCATATATTCATGTACAAGCAGAAATGTGAAGATATGAATCGATATCAAATTGCTTTTATATGTTTCTCAAAGTTACTTAATGTATTTCAGAACAAAAGAATACATTAGAAATAAAACAATAGATATAATAACAAATAAAAAACGATGAAATACATAAGAAAATAAAAAGTTGAAAATCGCATCAAATTTGAATAAATTATCATTAATTACATCAAATAACTATTTTGTGTTAGAAAAGAAGTTTCATATGAATAATGAGTTTCAACATAACAAAAGTGGAGTCTGACAATTTTTGTAATGATTCTAGTTCCCTGTATATTTCCAGACTAGATATTCATGAATGCGTAATTTGCTTATTCATAATTTATGCAAATTAACCTATGCATTTTCAAATATGAAAATAATGAAACCTAATGAATTTGAGATGAAGGAAACATTTATTCAATACATTTTCACGATTCTTCACAAGTCTACGGACAAATATGTAGAGTTTTCTGTAAAATGCATAAAATTAGCATTTTGCATAATTAATTAGGCTATAACGACAAAAATTTGCATATTAGGAAAAAACTAATTATACAATCTTGTTCCTTACGTAAATATCTACAAACATGCAAATTTTCGCATTCATCGGACATTCGACGGCCGAGACCCCCCCCCCCCCCCAGTCAGAGAGTGCTCGAAATAGCCCAGTACAGTAAGGGTTAATATGAGAATTAATAAATCAATTATGGTTATTTGTTCATATTTTATTATAGTTATCAATCTTGGTACAAATTATAGTAAATAATTCTTCTAATGATCAATTTAAATATGCTGATTATATTTAGAGGATTTTATTTTTGGGGGCCTGCTAATGTCTCACCCTCAATTTTTCATCATATCAAATTACGTAATGTAGACGAGACCACCGAGAGTGCATACCGGTATAACATTTTTAAAATAATTTATATACATTTAATTTTTGTGCCCCTGATAGTTTCTCGACTTTGATTATTGAAAACACAAAAGTTGTGGTATATTTTCTAAAATTTGATTTCTTCTATTAATCGTTCCCTCTTTCCCTGTTCTTTTCCTCCAGGTGTCCAGACAATTTGGGTGTAAAGAGTAAGATGGGATACGCATCCAGTGTGGAAGAGTTGAAGAAGGAGTGTCTTGGGCCGACGGTAGTGTACGTGCAAAACGAATTAAGCGAAATTGATTACGATTCAATCATCAAAGAATTTGCTTCAAAGAATTGAAATGCTGACCTGGCAAGCAAGGAGGTTAAGTACATTTGATTTTTAAAATGGGACATTTAATAGGAAAATATCTGCATTTGTGCAGTACTGCATACAAAGTGAATATGTTGCGAGTCTGCCATCACTGACCATGTTGGGATCTTGCAAATATGACAAATAAAGCTTCTTAATTAAAATCATTGTCTGTTTTTTGCTTGTTCGGTTCATTAGCCCTTCGTAGGAATTAATGTAGAATTAATGTCTGTTTATTGATTTGATAACATCCCAAGAAGTTGAGGACCAATTTAAGAAGAAAAGGGAATTGCTACTGATGCTTCCCTGGTGAATTCAAAAGTTTTATGAACTCTGAAAGCATTTTGTGTCAACAAACTACATGCCGGAAATGCTGGGAATTAGTGTTGTTGTTGCGTTTGGTTTTCTCACACAAATTTAATTACTAGAGGATGTGGGATAATCGTATCACTTCTTAACACATTGACATTGATTACTTTGTATACATGTACATGTATCTGTAGATTTATTTTGCAGACTTGATATTAATATATTTTAAGAGCATCGAGCCATTTCAATGACCATGTTTGATTCTACATGGAGAAACTTATTGACCTACATGTATAACGTGTTCAATGTAATAGGGTTTAATGATGTACTCTATAGGCCCCCCATAAGAATAAATGTTATTACTGTGTCAATGTCATGATTTCATTTGAAATGCCAATAGAAAACAACGTATCAATGTAAATGAGGGCATATTTTGCGGGTGGACAGAAAATTAATCAATATATGGAAATTTTCAGCAACATGGTGGGCTGCTTGTCTGATAAAAAAATTTGTTGAATAGAGGGGGGAAGAAACGTGTCGTTTGTGTTTGGAGAGGAACGTTTGATTTACCCATGAAGTTGTTTGCAGTACTTTCATGAATGATACATTACCAATTAAAAAGCTTTTATTTTTTATAACTGCAAAAGAGCTATTGCTTTGCTGGCCATTGAAATTGAAGAAGAAAAAAGTGTGTCTTGTTAATCAAAATGAAAAAAAATTGGGCAGTCAGTACTCTCAAAGCATCCTTGCAAACACTTCTGTAGTAGAAAGATAGAAAGAAAAGGGAAAGTTATCGTGAAGCATAGCACAAGGTTTTCTGGTTATTGTTTCTTGCACACCCAAATATTATCAAATGTATTTTAACCATCTTAGAAAACTGGGGAATGATCATCGGCTTGTCAGATGAGATTTGAGTGAAGAAGAAGCGGTTACTAGTCTATGTAAATATATTTTGTGTTTAAAAAGAAATACAAATTTTACCTATTTCCATGTAGTGTAATAATTCATCATGACATTTACAAAGCTTTGGTCATTTTCTTTGATAATAGGCAAATTCTATTATAAATGATGTATAATTGTAGTATATGCGCTAACAGTGTTAAGATATGCATAAATATCCAAAGATATTCTTTTTAGTAGAAATATCAAAGAACGTTTTTTTTTTTTTTTTTCAAGTTTCAAGGTATGGAAAAAAAATTAAAAGACACAGCGAGAAGATTGTTGACAATGGGTATATATATTGTAAGACTTTTTTATATTGAATATTTGATCAGTTGTACAAAGTTGTGCTGTCTGAGAAGCATATTTGAGATAGTTTCATTTATATAGTGGTTACATCAAATTTTGGGATATAATAGCATTTTGTTACCCCATAAACAAGTGAAATTTTCCTAGTGCTGATTCATTGAAATCAGCATTACATGTTTGCTTTTATTTCAAAGACTTTCATTTTGTAAGACAGGACATACAACTGTTGTTGTTTTTAGCAAGAGAAAGGAAGTGTTTATCTAGAATGGTTTATGTTAATGCATTGTGCAGTGCCCAAAGCTGTCTATGAGATCTGTTTTAAGTAACACTTTTGTTCTCAATCTGTTCAGAAGAACATATTCCAAATTAAAAGAAAGAAGAAAAAAAACTATTGAATGCAGGCTTTCTTTTTTCTTTACTGTAGTCAAACAATTGGATAACTGATATGTGTCAGGTAAATTATCTAGGAAAGGTTTCCCTGTACTTTGGTAATTTGGTTCTTATTTTATTTATGCTTAAATTTTGTCTGTATCACTAGCAAGAGAGTCAGTAAAATACCACTTTATCTTCATTCCTTTTTGCATCAAATTGCTTCAATTTGGTATTGCTTTTCTGTGAACGAGTGTGTAGTCTTTTTCATGATGGGAGTCCCCAAGAAGAAAGCATGGCAATGATAACATTTATCAGCTCTTCCCATTTATGTATCAAATTGATTATGTAGTGTTTTTTTGTTTTCCTCCCAAGATAACTTTAAAATATTCAATTTCTGCATTGTATTTGAATATACTGTACATGAATGTTAATATTTTGTTGAAAATACAGGTGAAGGGGATTGAGATTCAGAGAGGAAAAATGACTGGAAAGATACACCGAGAGAGAGAGAGAGAAGGAAGATGTGTTTTAAAGATTATTAGAGAAAAGGAATAGAGTTTGAAAGATTCAGAGAGAAGGAGGAGAGTTTGAAAGATCCAGAGAGAATTCAAGGAGGAGAGTTTAAAAGATAATGGTCCGAATTCACAAAGGAGGTTTGTCGACAATCCTCCTTTTGTTTCGTCAAACCTTTTTTTTACAAACCAGGTTTGTAAAAACCGCGTCAAATTGCGTCATATGACGTACAAAAACCTGGTTTGTCGACAAACCTTCCTTTGTGAATTCGGGCCACAGAGTTTGAAATGTTACATGTACATGTATAAATAAAGAGAGGGAGAGTGGAGGGAGTTTGAATGTACAGAGAGTAGGAAAGGAGAGAAATGAAGTTTAAAAGATACAGAAATTAGGAAGCAGGTTTGAAACGGAGAAGAAGAGAATTTGGAAGATACAAGGAATGGGGGGCCATTGAATAGAGTACACCACTCCGACCCATGAACAAATACTATCAACTATTTCAATGATTGCGTACAAAGTAACGATGAACTAAGAGAGGGGGGGGGGGGGGGTTGATACCCAAACTTTCCAAAATCAAGAAAAGTGCCTCCTGCGAAAACGATGCCCTTTTCAAATCAAAGTGGCCCTCGTATGGTAAAAATTCAAAATATTGTTTGTTTGAGTCCTAAGTTTTGGTCAACATAATGTTCATCAAAAGTAGGCTGTAAATAAGCCAATTTTGCAGACGACCCCCCCCCCCCCACCCCCTCCAGATGATGAAATAAATGTTCCTTCTGATATAAATTGCCACATATTTGTAGCTACATGTAATATGTCTTGAATGTGTACTTGAGTAAATTGTATTCGTACATAAAAGATTCTCACTATTTAATAAACATAAAGGACTATATAATTTATTCTGTCGATACAATTACTATAGGAAAGTAAAATATGTAAACAAATGAAATGAAGATCTGTTTATTACAATTGGGTACAAAAACTAAGGACATTTCAGTTTAACGTGGCCTTGTTCATCCTGAAGATTTGTTTTCGCTAGAGAGCCTGCATCAAACATCATTTAGAAAATTAGTCGTATTGGCTTGGCTGACGCCAACCCCAGAGGCGGCAGAGCGTCTTCCAGAGTAAGGGGGGGGGGGGTGGGGTGCACCAAAAAGAGGGCACTTTCTATACAAAAAAAATAATAGAATAAGGGCAATAATCAGAGGTAAAGGGGGCACTTATAAGAATATGGGAGGCCTCATATTAGAAAGAAAAGGGGCACTTATCTCAAGTAAAAGGAGGCACTTTTCCTATGTAAAATCTTTAAAAGGGGCACTGGAAAAATGTGGGGTGGCGCTGTGCCCTCACCCCCGAACAAAAGTGCCACTCCCCAAAATGAAAATAAGGAACAAGGACAGAAATTTAAGGTGGGGTGTTGCTGCTGCCCTACAGGCGGCTCTAGAGGGAGGCCTCATAAAGCCCCCTTCAAAAAATAATCTATATAAGCCCCTCGACCCCCCCCCCTGTATGAACCTACATTTCAGTGCAAGATATTTTTTTGTATTTTTATTGTAGAGCGGTTCTTAATAATCATCAGACACGTAGCCACGGGAGGGGGGGGGGGGCACGTGCCCCCCAACAAATTTCCAAGAGCGGTTGAATTTTTTTAGATCCCTCCCCAGGACGTCGATCGATTACATATATGTCCCCCCCCCCTTCCCCAAACATCACACGCTGGCTACGGGCCTGATAATCATTTTAGTATTTTAACCAAATTTATACTTAAGTACCTCGATACGAATCATTTCATTCACCTGTTACGGAAAATAGTATTTCAATAGTCAGAATAGTCAGATATGCTACGTTGGACAAAAATCATGGCTTCCCCTAACTAATTAAACAACACGTAATGTAATTGGCATTCTGCCTATTAAAGTACAATTAGTCGTAACAGGTGAATGAAATGATTTGTATCGAGGCCCCTTTACAAAGACATATAATGCATACATTTGGTTACATTGCGAAAATGGCTTTATGCCATGCCTAGATCAGGCAGAGGGTTGAATGCTAAACGTGTTTCCCATTCTTATGGTTGAGCGGTCCTGACTACATAGGCCATTTTCGTAATGTAACCAAATGTAATGCATAGGTCTTTGTGAAGTGCCTCAATACAAATTATTTCATTCACCTGATAGGAATAATAGTATTTCAATAGTCAGAATGCAACTGCATATTATTAAGTGTTACTAGGTAGGTCAAGCCATAATGTTTGTCCAACCTGGCAACAACTAATGTATGCAGTTAGGATTCTGTCTATTGAAATACTATTATTCTTATCAGGTGAATGAAATAGTTTGTATTGAAGCACTTCACAAAGACCTGTGCATTAAATTTGGTTACATTACGAAAATGGCCTATTGCTGGCTAGGTTGCATGGTTGGGTATTAAGCAAGTTTAGGCAAGGCTCCGCATAGACAATGGCGAGGCGATTTGGCTGCCATGTTGTTTGAGCACACCGCACTGCATGCATGCTCGTACGCAGAGATCGTCCTTTTCTATAAACGCCTGCCCTTCAAGTCGGAGTAGAATTTCCCCAGAGACAGTAAGTGATGTTTTGGTTTATATCAAACTATTTTGTACAGGAAATTTGGCATCGTTCAATCAGGAACATTGGTATCGGGCGATTTCGTGCGAAATCCCGCGTGAAATTTCAATGTTGTAATGAAATTAATGGATAACTATGTCTTAATTAGTCCTACAATAGAAGGTATCTAAACAAATTGGTATAGCTAGTATACAGATTAAAAGACTCCCTTCCACTTTCGGCATTATTACTACAATTCATTCATGCTCTCATATTTAAATTATTTTGTTGCTGTTTGGGGTAATTGTAGTCGAACTAAATTAGATAAATTATTTAAATTGCAAAAAAAGCCCAGCCTTCGCATATGCCTGGGATGTCATTATCGTGCCCATTCTGCCCCACTGTTTAGAAAATTGAAATCTCTTAATATTTTTGATTTGTACTATTACTCCATTGCCCTCCTTGGTTTCTTTTACTTCCAAAATAAATTACTGGTTAATATTTTTCAGATGTTCACTCTTAATTACCAGATACATAATCACAATACCCGTTTTAATGATTCTTTTCACTTATGGCCAATAAAAACAAATAAGGTAATGGAATCAGTACGACATAAATCCCAGTCATTTGGAACTCTATCCCCAAAGATGTTTCTGTATGCAAGTCTATTAATTCCTTCAAAAATATTTCAAATATGTATAGTTATTTATTCTATGTTTATATTTGTGTTAAATGTTTTTTGTTTCTTTTTGATTAATGTTTTTGTTTTTGTTTATCTTTGCTTTACATTATGCTATGAATGCTTTTGGAACTACTATTGTACAAGGCCTAAGGGCTTTATTTATGTAGTTCCCCATTTCATTTCTAAATTTGTTCATGAATTTTTTTTGTACCTTTAGTATCAATGTTATTTCTAATCGAGATTGAAATAAATGCGAATTGAATTGAATTGGATACATTGTACAAAGTCGCCCGATATCTGTTTTCTAAAGCAAGACAGAATTTCCTATCAAGTTAATGAAAACAATTGTAATATTGTGCAAAACTTGATCTTCTTTTGTTTCTTCATCATAGAAGTTCCACTATGCCCTTAGACTTATTATGACCCCCGTTTGTTTCCCAAAAGGGCGCTAGGGCAAATATTAGAACATTCGAAAATCGCCCATTTTTGGAATAAAAGCCATCGTTATTGCCAAAAATTGAAAATGTTCAATCCTCTCCGTTTTCTCTTCATGGTATTCCCAAGTTCCCAACATCCCCTTAGACTTATTATAACTTCCGTTTGTTCGACAAAAAGGATGTTAGGGCAAATATTAAATAATCGGGGCAGCGCCAGGAGCGTCACAAAATGACGGACACGTGCGCCATATAGGAATCCACCATTATTATTATTTAATTCGAAAACCCATTACAAGGGAAGTAAAGGCAAATCTTGGAAAATTTGAAAACAGCCCCTTTTTCGAAAAAATGGCCAGGGGTTAGCTCATCATTTTTGCCAAAAAAATGAAAATTTTCAATCCTCTCCGTTTTCTCTCGATGGTAGTCCTAACATCCCCTTATACTTGTAATGACTTCCGTTTGTACATGAATAGGGAAGAAAAGGCAAATCTTGGAAAATTCGAAAACTACCCCTTTTTCGAAAAATCGTTTCGCCAAAAAATGAAAATTTTCAATCCTCTCCGTTTTCTCTCCGTGATAGTCCAAAAATCCCCTTAGACTTGTTATGACTCCCGTTTGTTCATTAAAAGGGAAATAAACTAAGATCTTTGAAAATTCGAAAACCACCCCTTTTTCGAAAAAATGGCAAGGGGTAAGCCCATCGTTTTTGCCAAAAATGTAAATTTTCAATCTTCTCCGTTTTCTCTCCATTAGAGTCCCAACATGCCCACAAACTTATTATGACTCCTGTTTGTTCATGAAAAGGGAAGTAGTGTCAAATCTTGGAAAATTCGAAAACCGCCCCTTTTTCGAAAAAATGGCAAGGGGTTAGCTCATCGTTTTTGCCAAAAAATGAAAATTTTCAATCCTCTCCGTTTTCTCTCCCTGATAGTGCCAACATCCCCTTAGACTTGTTATGACTCCTGTTTGTTCATGAAAAGGGAAATAAAGTTAGATGTTTGAAA